AGTTGCAGGATTCGCAAAGCATGTCCCCGATCAGCAAAATGCCAGAGTTAGAAAGCCCCAAGGCACCCAGTGGTCCAGTTGGGTGCTCGATGGATCATGGGAATGAAACGCATGAGGAAGAAGAAGAAGAAGATGAATGTCCCACTACGGATGAAGAAGTAGAAGTTATAGCTGTTCATGACAATGTCTGCATCACAATAGATGATGATTCTGAATCAATCCTTTCCCCGCAAAAGGCCAAACAGACTCAGGGACCTGAGGATGGCACTCCTGCTGCTGCTTGCCCAAACAGTTGCCCAGAGGCTCCTGTGGCAGATGCAGGAAATGTTCCAAATCCTACAAATGCTAAGATCCTGGAGCCTGAGGAGATGTTCCACGCAGTTCTGGGGAATGAGGCTGAGGACATAGTTGATTCTGAAGACGAAGGTGGAAAGCCAGAAAGCTCAACCACAAAAGGAGTTTTCAAGGTGGGGATTGGTTGATTGAGAAGGGAGTAGTTCTTGCTCTCTTTTTTTTTCTCTCTCTCTCTCTCTCTTTCTCTTTGTAATACATGGGAATATGATGCACTAGTGAATATCACAATATTATATAATTGATATCAATCAATATAGTATGTGCTCGACATTTGCAATATATATAATATATAATAATATCTTGCATATGCTACTACGATACTGATCAAACAACATTACACCGGATCTATTTTGAATTTCCCCTTCCTGTCAGGACCGCAAGCCCCTCAAAGCTGATGTGGAGATCCCCCAGAGTTTGGCAGATCAAGCATCGGCCAAATTGAACTCGCTATGTGATGCCCTCCAAACGTCTGATGAACAGATGGCTGAAATGATGAAGGCGTGACCATCAGCAGTGCTGAAGAGTTGAATGACTCATTGCTTATCAATAAATCAACCAAACGTGAATGTAATGTCCAAGACTTGAAATGACCCAACATAATTTTCTAGCTGGGATTGATTATTCTTGATGGCCAAACTAGTGCCAATACTCTTCATATAGATCTGATAGCGAATCCAAATGTCTTTATGTGATGAATCCAAGGCAATGGGGTTTCCAAATTTGACTTCTTGTATTCCTCTTTATTTACTGTATGTATTCCAGATGTGAGCATTGGGAATGTATTTTATCTAGCAGCTCTCCTGGTACAATCCGCCCCCACCTTGCAGGCGCAAGCAGCTTTGCGCACCATGCAGAAGGAGTCTGCAGAATGTCCTGACAGGGCAATGCAAGATGAGCTGGAGGCTGAGGAAAATGAAAAGAATGGTAAAAGAGATAAAAGGGCGAAGGGCAGGGGAAGGGGACGAGGGGGACGAGGGGGACGAGGAAGATCAGGAAAGGGTAGAGGCAAAGGATGTGCACCTGAAGTGAAAGATGATGAGAAAAAGGATAATGAGAAAAAGGATGATGAGACAAAGGATGATGAAATGCCTGCCTCACACAGTGGTGATGCTGAAATTGCCACACCCCCGTCTTGCGCTGTGGAGGAGAAAAAGAAACCGTTGATTGAACCCAGCCACAAGTTTCCCCCTGATGATGCAGAGGTGACAGAATCCCCGGTGAAAAAACCTAGGCTGGGCAGGCGCAATAGTAGAAAGAAACTGCAGCGGTTGAGAGTCCTGTCGCCTAGCAGCTCGGGAAAGAAGATGTACAAGAAACGAAAACCAGATGATGGGGAGGTTGGGGGTCCTGCTGATGCCACTGAGACACCGGGTCAAGAGGATCAAGAAGGTTGGGACTTTAGGGGTGAGAATGGGCCAGAGGAGACTGATGCCCAAAATCATGAAGGTGAGATTCCAGAACCCGCTCCCAGCAAACCCAAACGTGAGAGAAAAAAAGCAAGAAGCCCAAAGTCAGGCAAGAGGCTGCAGGCTCAGCAAACCCGGAAGGCCCAAAGCAGCATGTTTCAGACACACCAGATGAAACTCAGAAAGAAAAAACCAAAGAAGAAATCGCGATGGAAAAAGCAAAGGAAGACAAGGACCTAATTGAGAATGATGTTGCTGTGATGTGGAAAAGGGTCATTAGCCAAGTAGGTCAAGAGGTATCAAACCACCACATAATTCAATCCTTGTCAGCTTGTAGAAGTTTTGGTAACTCGATGGAATATAATACTGTTCCTTGGGTTTCTCATGTTTTGTTTCACCATTTATCTGGTACATTCTGGTACAGCATATTTGGCAATGCTCATGTGGAAATCCCACTGATACAGTTTGACTGCAGGAACAAAAGTGGGCACTCCTCCTCGATATTGCAAAGAAAGATGCCAATTTGAGCCTGCCGGAGCAAATCCCGCCTGGGAAGTTCTGGCCTAAGAACAACTGTTCGAACAATGCGTTGATGGATTGTTATCATTATGGCATATTTTTTGGAATTGATATCCATTTTTCGAAAGTTTGAAATAACTGAATCAAAGAGTTTCTCAATAATCACTTGTTCATCTGTCATTGTGATTCATTTATACAATAGTCATATCATTATATGATTGTGGTTCATGGTTGGTGACTGCTAAGCTAGCACATGCTCAGGTCCTTTACTGTGTATGCGCCAGAAGGCACTGTGACACCAGGGGGTGGCACTTGTGCATCCATCGGGATCTTGCTGGGGGCTCAGATCAATTGATCAAAATTGTATTTTAACTAACATTGAATAATATTGAACACTATATAATATATGGTGTAAAGATATAAAACTGCTTCCTTTTGATTCATTACTCTGTGAAAGGGTGTTCCCAAAACATGTCTTGGAGCACACATAATGGTCATGCCTTTCCTAAACTGGCCTCAGGATGCAACAAGCGAGGAGCTCATCTGCATCCTTCTTTGTTTCCCGTACTGATGGCATTGAAGAGAGGGTGAAGGATGTCAACACAATCCTAGGGGCTTCCTTTCAGGCCATGGTATTGGTAAAGGTTAACTTACTTTGGGAGGTTTGCAATGTTTGGTAAACCTGCTTCACCCATGCATTGTATAGATCCAACGCATTTGTTCGACAATGTGGCATCTGAACCCAACTAGCATATGTTGACTAGATTATTTAATTGTCTTGTCCATCAAACTTTAGACTTGCATTATAAATCTACTGACATGGTCTCCCAATGAAGCCAATGAAACTGATGTCAGAATATAACATTCATTTTTGTTCACATCATAATTACATCAGCATGGTTCCATGTGATGCCCCTTTAATCAACTCACATGTAATCAGTGTCACGCCTTCGCCCATTTTATGATCCAAACTTCTGTACAATCCTCCGGAAGGCCAAGAAGAAAGGTGTGAGCATTGGATGGAACAGCTATGGTGGCTGTGAGCCAGCGCCCGGTGCCACAATTTTCTCATATGATGTTGATTGAACACTCAGAACAATTATATAGTTTCTTGTGGGGCAAGTTCATGTGTGTTTATATCAGAATGGTCACATTTGAACTTATATTTATATATATATACATGATATGATAAAGGTATAATATGCAATCTGATTTATACTAATTGGAAAGGACGTGATTTGAATTTGGAAAGTGCATGGGTTTCACAATGCAATCATTCACCAAGCAAATTCATTGCTCAAATTTAAGTTTGAATTATGTGGGTTTTATGGTCTAAGCTTAAGGAAGGCAGTTCTGGTACAAACAAAGTAGATATGGGAACCTGCGATATCAAATCATGAATAACTTCACTGCATTCATGTATGACTTAGTTTGTCAAAACATTAAATACACATTGAATACTGATATCTTGTCGTGTCATCTGGTAGATTATTTTCCCAAATCAATCCAGCTGCAATGATAGATTGTGCCTGCTATTCAACAGACCAGATCCCATGCCACTATTTGGTGACTCATCCCTTGTTCGCCTCTGCCAAGTGAGGTGGCGTATGGCAAAGATGGTGGGCGGGTGGTCGCCTGTGAGCAAATAGGAATCCAATGTGCTTCATGGGAGGTCTTAGGCCTCAAAGCTGTGTAGTTGACTCGTATGCTTCAACATTCAAAAGTATCTTGATTCTAAATACTGTCCACCTGGTAAAACATAGTCAAAGTCATCCCTGATTTGTGCTGTTAGAGGCATGATCTCCTGAAGTACCTGATGACAAAAGTAATATTAGAACCACAGAGCGCCCATGAAAATGATTTGGTTTCAGTGGAAATGGCCTTCGGAAGTTCAAACATATTAGGGTGTGTATTCAAGCTGAAGTCCCATAGGGCACTGCGTGGCTGACCCGGGGTGATACAGCTGTGCCCCAAGTCTGTCACAAATTCCGCTTGTGATCAACACTTGGGATAGCATCAAAAAATGTTTGGCTTTACATCCCCACAAATGTGTTCATGCAAGAACTTGTTCAATGCAAATTGTTTGAAGCCAGTGTTTTTTTTTACTTTTTGGATCTTTTTGGTCTTTGTGATTTTTGAATGGGGACATGGCACTCACTGTGATCTTTGAGTAGTTGTCCGTTTTATGTAGGACCCAATCTGTACCCTCCAGCATTAGTCATTGCTGTGTGGGCCTGCTTTCACCAGGGGATGTGAGATGCAACAGCAGTGGGATGCTGCAGTTCGAGAAAAGTGGTGATCAAGGGGTGATAATGGTATCCTTAATCATTTGCAACTGATGTGATCTTAGGGCGGTAGTGTGAAACAGGCAGTCGGGAAAAGGTTTCACTCAGCATATATCTTCTATATGTACTTGCAGGTTTTGCTGTTCTGATACTGGTACAGCAGTGGAATCTCAAAGGCTGTTAGTAGCCATCACTGGTTGTTGCCAAAAAGGTTTTTTGTGGCTCTCCCCAATACCTAAAAGCTAAGCATTTTATATCACCTGAAATGATGAACATGAAGGATACTAAAGAGAACCTGAGCTGAAATAGAAACCGATTGATTTTACCAGAGATGTCAGACTTGCATCCATGCCCCATTCCAAGCTCACTTTCTTGCCTGCCGCAGCCCTTAGATCCTCGAAGCTCGCCTCAACCTTGGTACCAGCCAGGCATCACCATGGTGCGTAAAGCATGGACCACAAATCCGCTGGCTCTTTCAAAAAGGGCATCAGCACTTTTGATTGCATGGGGCGTTCCACTGGTGGTGTTACTCAAGCTCAAGTTAGTACAGTACATATTTTGAACACATTGATTCATGAAGTGCGTTTGTATTGACAAATGTCTGCCTTCAAAATGAATGATAGCTATGATAGATTGAGCATAGAGCACCATGAAAGGTCCATACTAATAATTTGGTTTGTGTATCATGCCATCCTGCCAACTAAGGTTGCACTGTTGTGACATGATTGCACAGAACGCTCATCCTGACTACTGCCACAGAGTCCGACCCCAAGAAAAGTTGATTGACCTAGATTGGGATCCGGAAAGTAATTGCACACCTTATGCTGAATCCTTTTTGGATACCGAAAAAATGATACACTGTAATCTTCTGATTGCCTTCATGATGGGCTTTATTTGTGACAAATGCTCAAATACCTAAAACAAACTAGACTTGGCAGACTCCTGGTGGGTAATGCAAAACCAACAGGCTGAGTTTTTTGAACCGGAATTGAATGACTGTAAAATCTGGCCATATATGAGCCAATCTGATATGTACAAGAACATCCGGTCTTTTGTTCACATTGTAAGGTTGGCTTGGTGCTCAGACATGCCAATGTAAGTGCATCATAATAGTGGGTAAAACAGTACAATACATGAGTGCATACATTAAATATGTTCGTAGATTCTTGATACTAAAAATCAAAAGCAGTACTATGACCCACTATTGACATGACACTAAAATCCAATGTCATATAGGATCACCCTTAATTCTAGGGAAATAATATTATAATTATTATATTTTAAATAATAATATAATATTTATTAAATCATATTATAATATTATATTATATTAGATATTAGATATATTAGATATATTAGATATATTAGATATATTAGATATATTATATTTTTTAGATATATATTGGATTAGATATATTAGATATATTAGATATATTAATATGTTTATAATGACTATCATATATATATCGTATGAGGTATTCTGGAACTAAGCTAGCCCATGTCACTGTTGAGTGCCAAGCCAGCCCAGGACGTGGACCTTCTTGATGCCTTCGGGGGTCACGGCGAAGTGTCCAAGCAGTTCAGCTGGAATCCCAGTGAGTGGGTAACACTGGAAACTCAATCCTTTTTTGGACTGGGGTAATGAACTAAAATGCGTGCCCAACTTTGTTGGAATTTGCACACGTATAAATTATACAACTAAAAAATATCTTGTGGTATATAATATACTGAGTTTTGGATATCTTGAGAAATTGGGAAGATACGTTTTGTTACCATAATTGATGGTGAAACTGTTTACGATCAAACAATTAATACCAACCTTCTTCATTTTGAAACTGCATGATTGGATTGGCCAACCTACTTTAGCAATGCTGTGAGCCTGTCCATCTTTGGGCTGTTGATTGAGGTGCCCAAGGAATGAAAACGTCAGGGCCCAAGAAGGCACACTAGGTTGGGAACAACCACCTGGAAAAGTCAATGGTCAGAACATATTCTGTGGAAATCAATTGACTTAAATTGTCTGGCAGAAGTGGTTGTGCTGGTGTCCACTTTGGTCTAACATGTGAATAGGGGATAAACATATGCAGTGCTGCCTATGAAGCCTATCAATTACATAAATCAAATAGATTTTCCAATTTCCATAAATTTCCATGTCGAACATCTTAAATAATGTGGAAATGTGTAAACAATCACACATCCAAAACACCACATTGAGAAACCAACTGTCTGGTGCCTGCCAAAGTGCCGGTGTAACTGAGGAGCTACTTTGACCTGGCAACGGAGGGAAACATGGGAGACATCATGTCTACGTCTGATACTCAGCTATTCAGTGACCTCCTTCGGGGTTCTTTAACTTGCTGATAACTCAAAGAGTCTATATAAGTTTTATTTCGTTGATATATGCATTGAATGTTTGCAGGATTGTAATTTGATACCAATTCATTTGATCTGATGCATCAATATCAATTATCCATAGTTGAAGTAGGGGCCTTGAAAATTCTACAGAGTTGAGTTGCACGAGAACAGCCCCGCATGCCCACAATGCATTCATGATCTGATATACTGCAGTGCTTCAACAACAACTGGTTGTAAAGATGTGGGACCTGCCATCATTTTTTTTCTTACTACTGTAAGTTGATCTTGTATCTTCATCCCAAATCAAAGTTCCAAATGCAGTAATCCTATGCCACTGTTTGCTCAGGGATGGCTGGTACAACTGCCTGTTGAAGCTGCTGCAAGTGAAGGAGGGGGGGCTCCTTGTGGGGGGCCCCCCCTGTGGGTCTTGGATTTGGGTCAACCGATCCACTTCAAAAAGATCCAAAGACCACATCTTCGGAGATACAAAACGTCCCTACATAAGGCTTGCAAATTCGATGCTTATCTGTATTATATATATATGTTGTTCAACCTGGTATGATGTTTTCTTGTGGTTGTCTCTAGTGATATTATAATCTTATAATCTGGTATTACATTCTATTATATATATTATAATAATTATATATGATATTATAATTAACCAATTGCTGTGACTTGTACTGCTGTGACTCTAAGGATCACATGTCGATTTGTGATCTTCTCTTTGATCGCAATAGCCCGTGGATTGGAGATACTTTGGGAACAACCATCGGGATCATTGATGCCTGAATTCCCGTACCTGAAATTTATGGCGATTGTGATGGACCCTGTGCTGTGGGGAAAGGTGAGATTGTTCTGGGCTCAGTCAATGGTTTGTATGTAGAACTTTCAACTTCTTGGGTAGTGTCCTCTATGATGTGTTGATGTTGCCTCACCCCACTAAGCACACACCACACATGCACGACCAAGTCCTATGGGGGCGTATGGCCATCCCAATTGCAAACCAACACTTCTTATGGGGTCTGTGTGCCTGGTCTGCAAGATCTTCGAATGCATCAGTGCCTGCATTGAGCACATGATGCTGGCTGTGCCCGGAACTGCAGCCTAGGCCTTACCTTGCTTCTTTCAAGAGGAAACTTACTCCAAAGGACAAACGTCGTCTTCAAAAGAACAAGGCCGTGAAGAAGCACCAAATGGTGAAAAAAACAATTTCCAAGAGTGGAAAGGTTCAAGTGTACCTTGATTTGGATTTGACATTGACAACGCTCATTCCAGGTTGTTGGATGTTGTCAAAGTTGAAACCTTCATATGTTAACACCTATGCATTCATGATGGTGGTTTGTGTGTGCTCTCCCTGCTTGAGAACCCATGTTATTGCCCCCAAAAAATGGTATATGTCAGTTATTTTACTTGAGTCATTATCTCTGTTGTCAGTCTCCTGGTAATCTGAGGACAGGATCCCATGGAATGCGAGCCAGTGCTGTCTATCCACGACAATTTGCCAAACACTTGGCAACCCAGCACAAAGCCTTTATGGCCCGAGCCCCATGGTTGCAAGCAATGGGTTGGATTTCATGTGTAAACGAATATGCATAATATAGGCTTGTAATATTTATAACATAATAATATAAAAATAAATGTTAATATATATATATCATGTAATATATATGTAGTATACTATATATTATATGTATAAATTATAGTATTATATTTGCCAAATTTCATTGTTTATGATATATACTATTGTGCTTATATATATATATTATTATATATATGAAAATAATATAAAACTCATATGATCAACTATACTATTGTTTGTCAATATATAGTGCAATATATAATGATATATTTATTAATTAAAACGTGAATTGTATTTTAAATGTCCATTATTAGCAGACTCATTGATCAATCAGCTGATTGAAACAACTTCACATGCCCAGGCAGTTGGATGCAGGCAAAACAGTGCAAAAGCTCCAGATCCACCTGTGAAGGTTGGCACTGCTGTTGGATTGTTTTTGTTTTTACTCACATGTTATATTGTTGATTGGACAAATTGCTGTGCGAAAGAATGGCCAAAAACTAGTGTGGTGAAAGATAGCACATTTAAACACATGGGAAAACACACTGGTTGTTGGAGATAGCTGTTAATCCAGAAATATGGTGTTTGTTGTTCTTCTTTGGTAGCACTATGAACTAAAGTGTGATATCCATCATGCACCCCTACACATGACACTTCTGATTTTACATATCATAACAACCCATTGATTCTCATTTATGGGTGTACCTGCTAGCTATGATATCTCCTTTTGATGTCAAATTGAATTATGTTGTGGTAGTTTGCAATACTATAATCTATGTTCTGGT